CTGAATATATATATCTTTTTTTTTTTCTTCAGGCACTTGCAACGATCAAAGATGGAAAACGAATTCTTTTCCAATTTGATAGAGCAGCCTTTTCGTTCAAATTTCTACCCGTCAAGGTTCCATACCCTGTACCTTTTCGACTTCTGGGAGATGAAGCTAAGGGCTGGTTAGACACGACGTATTTATCTCCATCTGGAAATCTCCGTATTTCAAGAGGAAACAAGGTAGGAGAGCGTAATAATTAGCTAATGATCGTTTTTGCTTTTCCTCACTGGTATATGATATACGTCATGAATATTAGCCAGTAAGCTGTATCTCACAGCTCCTTTTTAACGGGTAATCAGTTAAGCGTTTAAGGGCCACAAGCTATACTGCTATAGTGCAGGGAACTACATTTGTGCTACAAAAGGAAGCTGAACCAAGACAAAATTTGCTTTCATCAATTTCGACTGGTACAAGTGTTGAAAAGGTACAGATGTTACTTTTCGGTGAAAATTCTGTTATAAATGGTCTACAATCTTTCAATTCAATTGGCTAATAATTTTCGTGCTGTGAAATTAACAGGCAATTGATGAATTTATTTCCTTGAACCAAAATGTAGCAAATCCTGAATTGGAACTACTTGAGGGAGAGTGGCAAATGATATGGAGTTCACAGGTATCTGTCCACTCAAACTTCTCTTTCCCTTTCGAATGCCAAAAGTTTGGCATAATGGAAAAGCTCAAAAGCAGACCATTCTATACTTGCTTATGAATAAGATCGATATTCACTAGGTGAAAGGTAGTCGTAAACAATGCAATTTATAGCACATGGAAACTGTAGTATCTGATTAGATACAGTCTAATAGAGCACAACAAATGTGTGCCACCACGAACTGTTGAAAGAATGAGATAGATAGTGAGATTTTCCTCCTCAAGAAGCTACTCTGAACATGCTAAACAAAACCCAAAATTTCGAGAAAGAGAAGGAAAGGATTTAGGTGCCAGTGTACAGAGCCACATGTAATCAGTTGTCGGAAAATTACACTGTACATCTAGGCAAAAAAGAAAATTATGTATATATATATATATTACATACTGATATCCCTTGGCTCTTCCTGGATTTACTTCTTTATATTTTGACCCCCTTAGTGAAAATCCCGGATCCGCCACTGCCTGTGTAACTATGTAAAATGGACTTCTGAATAGAGTCAGCATGAATTATTACCTGACAAAGATGAAAGATATTATGTTAACACTGTTTTAAGACAAAATATTCACCTCTTAGAAGAACATAAGTAGGCCGCAATGCTATGGGTCTAAGTTAAAGCCTATGGCAAATGAAGAAAAGATAAGTTCTACCAGTGTTGTTGTATTATCAGCGGCTTGGGGATTTTAAAATAGGGGATAGCATATACTTTTAATTATGCTGAGTAAAGCTCTTCTTGTGAATTAAGCTTTCACTCATTTAGCACCTGAGTTGTTCGTGAATTGTAAATTCAGTCATATAATTATTGTGTTCATTCCTTTTGTCAGGTTGAAACAGATAGTTGGGTCGAGAATGCTGGCAATGGTCTCATGGGCATGCAGGTGCATAGGACTTTTCATTTTTCTCTTACATCTGCTGCTTTATTTTGTTTTATACTGAATTTGCGATGTTCTTCTTTTAGATTGTCAAACCAAATGGACAGTTGAAGTTCCTGGTCGAAATTTTCTTCGGGATTAGGTTCTCCATGACTGGAAAATATGAGTAAGTCCCCTTCTAAATGCCACTCGAAAATTATCGTAGTCTCCAGTCATATTAATGAAGCAATTACATAGAATCTGAGTATATTAAGATTTCCATTAAACTGATCCAATATGCTTTTCATCATTAACTAAGATTTGTAGCTATCGCCAAGACTTTCTAATTTTGGTGTACGACCTTAGAGAAAATCAAAAGAATAAGTGTTCTCTTATGAAGTTAAAACTGCTAAGTTCTGCTGTCGTTAAGCTTAATTGCTTGGCTTCTAATTCAGGAAATCTGGTAGTAACACGTATGATGTTATAATGGATGATGGAGCATTCGTGGCTGGAGTTTATGGAATTCCAGTTGAAATGGAAAGCAAGTTCACCATAGAAATACTGTAAGATATCTATTGCAGACATAACATCGGCTTTCTAACTATTTTAGCTATACTTTGTCATCGATCGTTACTTTAGCCAAGGGTCTATCGAAAACAGCCTCTCTGCCCTCCGAGGGCAGGAGTAAGGTTTGCGTACATACTACCCTCCCCAGACGCCACTTATGGGAACACACTGGGTTTGTTGTTGTTGTTGTTTGTCGTCGATCGTTATGCTTAATAAATCCTGTTATTTCCATTTGTATAATGCAGATATACCGATGACAAGATCAGAATTTCACGGGGCTACAACAAAATTCTCTTCGTCCATGTACGCGTAGATGGATCCAAAAAGAAGTGATCAAGAGTTGTATAGGCAGATTAAGGCCAATCTGCTATGTTAAAACTTCAAATCATAGTCAAATATTGTCAAACTGTAACTTATATTCAAATTTCCATGTACCTTTCAAAAGTTCGTACAATCAAAACTGCTATATGCCAAAGGATCTCTAGCAGCAGATGTTTATAGGGCAGGGTGACATCCCCTTATTAAACTTAGTATACCATTAGAGCCGTTGGGTATGCAAACAAAGTTCCACATTGGTATCTCAACAGATTGGGAGCCTACATATAAGGCAGGGATCTCTTAATGGTGTGAGACATTTTGGAAAAAATCGTGCGAGCTTGGCCCAAAACGGACAATTCATACCATGTTAAGAGTATTTTTTGGCCATTTTAGCCCATCACGAACTTCGTCATTGGCAAATGGTCTTGTTGTTCTCTTAATCATCACAAATACATTCCAAAATGCAGTGTTTGACCCCTTTTAGTATGTGTTTATTGCTGAGTGATTCCCCTTTTAGTCTGTGTTTATTGCAGAGTGATTGCTCATTTATTTTGAAAGATAGTCGGGAAGTTTCTTCTCTATCAGCAAGCAAAGACGAGCCACTTCCGTTAGTAATGGAAATTCTTTTATTCTTCCTTCACCTTTCGCCATTTGAACTTCACAGCTTGTTTGGATGGTTGTTACCTATCCTATCGTATCGTATTGTTACTTTAAATACAATGTTTGTTTTGATTGTTACTTAAATTTTATTGTATCGTATCGTTAAATCCGTCGTTACGTAACGATGAAATGTGCCACTTTATGTAACGACCGATTTGGTGTGGTCGCGTCGTTTCCTTGTGTTTTTCTCTCAATCTCACCCTTCATTATTATTAAATAATTTTATTTTATCATTTACCCTACCTTTTTATATACCGTATCATAATTTTTCTTTATAATATTGCAAGTTTATTCATCATATCACAGGTGCGTGATCATGAAACTACGCCAAAACGACACAATCCATCCAAACATTGTATTTATCAAACGATACAGTACAATACAATACAATACGATACGATACATTATGAAACGATATGTAACAACCATCCAAACAAGCGGTCAATTGGATGGTATAAAGTAGTCTTTGACTTAACCTAATGTTGAATCCATAATATTCCTCACTTCTTTTCCTTGGGAAAAATTAGGCACATTAGGTTTGATCATGGTTAAATGATAAAAGTCTATGAATAAAACATATATATGTGTATTCATTGGATTAGTATAAACACCGGGTCTAAATTAGTTTTTCTAGGCACCTAGTAAATGCGATGCACCTGTGGACAAACTAAAAAAAAAGAGGGCATATGCCGTGCATAAAGTATCTCACATTCACGCAATGTCCGGGATAGGGCTGCATGGCAAGGGGCCTACTCTGGTGCAAGCATTAGTGACTGATTAAATTGCTCGAACTCGTGATCTATAAATACCAATATTAACATGGATCGGATTAGCCTATAAAATCTTACCTCTTATAGTAAAGTTAGGATTTTTGCATTTTATCCAAAACAAAGGGGTTACAGCGATAATTGTTAAAATGTCATGGTATAGCCAGTTTTCACACTGGTCAATGAAAAATAGCCAGCGTTTATCAAGTCAATGAAAAATAGCCATTATTTTGCTGCAACAGGGACCGGTCCAGTATAATATACGGGAGTTCTGGTGCATTTGTGTACGAACTCCAGCATATTATGCTGGACCGGTATACTTTGCTAACTCCTGTTAAATTTGCGGGAGACTGGAGCACCAGTGCTCCAAACTCCAGTATATTATACTAGACAATTATACTTGCTGGAACTCCCGTAAAATTTGCGGGAGTTCCAGCATAATTATGCTTGAACTCCCGTAAAATTTGCGGAAGTTCCAGCATAGTTATCCTGGAACTCCCGTAAAATTTACGGGAGTTCAAGCATACTTATGCTGGAACTCCCGTAAAATTTGCGGGCGTATTTTTCCGGATTTTGAACAGTATTTTCGCTCAAATTTAAAGTGGCTAAATTTCGATGACTTTTGAAACTTGGCTATTTTTCAACGACGAGTGGTAAAATTCAAAAATAGCCAGATTTACCACTGGTCGTTGAAAAATAGCCAAGTTTCAAAAGTCATCGAAATTTAGCCACTTTAAATCTGAGCGAAAACACTGTTCAAAATCCGAAAAAATACGCCCGCAAATTTTACGGGAGTTCAAGCATAATTATGCTGGAACTCCTGCAAATTTTACGGGAGTTCCAGCAAGTATAATTGTCCAGTATAATATACTGGAGTTTGGAGCACTGGTGCTCCAGTCTCCCGCAAATTTTACCGGAGTTAGCAAAGTATACCGGTCCAGCATAATATGCTGGAGTTCGTACACAAATGCACCAGAACTCCCGTATATTATACTGGACCGGTCCCTGTTGTAGCAAAATAGTGGCTATTTTTCATTGACTTGGTAAACGCTGGCTATTTTTCATTGACCAGTGTGAAAACTGGCTATACCATGATATTTTAACAATATTCCCAAACTTAGCTCCACTTTCAACCTGGAAGCCCAATCTAAGATCCGATAACCCGGATCTCAAACAATATAGTTTCCGATTGCCCCAGAAGCTGAAAAAGAAAAAAAAAAATTGAATCATTATTAGCAACCCAGAAGAGAAGTACGTAGTTGGTCTTTAGATTTTTGAGTTTCTTCCAATTTTCGAATTTTTTTAATCTATGTTTAATTCTGATTTTTTTCTCTTCGAGTTGGTTAATAATTTTTTCTAATTTTACAGGACTCAGATTTATTGAGGATCTTTGTTTTTGGAGTATTTGAGCCATGGAAAGTTCGGTAGCTGCAGAAAATGATAATAATGCCGCAGGTAATTTCCTGAAAACCCCAAGATCATTTTTTTCTTAAAAAAATTGATCATCAGCTTTAGTTGCTGAATTAGCGTAGCAATTGCCAATTAGGGGATTCTGCTCCTTGACTATGTGTTGATAGGCTTACTTATTGGAAGCAATTTACTGTTAAAGATCTTGAGTTGAAGCTTTGTGTGAAAGTACTATGGCTAACATTAGTTTAAACAGAAAGAATGTGAGGAAATGCTGTAAAGGTTTGAGATTTCAAGAGAAAGCTGCAAAATAAGGTGGAAAAAACACTATACAGCTTCTTTTTCCCCTTTTTTGTGTGGTTATGTTGGTACTTGTTTTACCCTTTTATTCGTATGCCGATGGTGTTACCAAGAACATGGTTTAAGTGCTAATGGGAGTGCTGCTTTGATGTCTGTTTCAGAGGATGATGTGAAGGAGAGGTGTTGGGACCAAAGGGAAGCGTTAGCGGGCGAGCCTCGATGTGTTATATGTGGCCGCTATGGTGAGTACATTTGCGACGAGACTGATGATGATATTTGCAGCTTGGAATGCAAAGGTATATTGCTGTCGCGGCTTGCAAAATCGCGGCAACCAACTGCTCGTCCATGTCCTGTGAAGTTACCTGCAACTGATGAGTGCTATTATGTTAGGGATAATGATAAATCTGAAGTGAAACCACTAACAACTGACCAGACTGAACTTCTGAGAAGGAAACTTGATATTGTTGTGAAGGGAGACACTACAGCGCCTCCCGTCTTGTCATTTGCTTCCTGCAAGCTACCTCAGAAGCTTCTCGAGAATATTGAAGTTGCCGGTTATGAAATGCCAACTCCTGTCCAAATGCAAGCAATCCCTTCTGCTTTAGCAGGGCAAAGCTTGCTTGTTTCAGCGGAGACTGGTTCCGGTAAAACTGGCTCGTTTCTAATTCCTATAGTTTCTCGATGTGCAAAAGTTAATGAAGAGCATTTCCAAAACCAGCAGAAACCATTAGCTATGGTTCTCACACCTACTAGAGAACTCTGCATACAGGTAGAGGATCAAGCTAAGGTGCTCGGGAAAGGTTTGCCCTTCAAAACTGCATTGGTGGTAGGTGGTGATGGCATGGCAGGACAGCTCCACCGCATCCAGCAGGGAGTGTCTTTAATTGTGGGAACTCCTGGAAGGCTCATTGACCTTTTAACGAAGCACGAGATTGAACTGGATACTATTTCAATTCTTGTTCTTGATGAAGTAGATTGCATGCTCCAAAGAGGTTTCCGTGAGCAGGTGATGCAGATTTTTACGGCTCTGTCTCAACCTCAAGTGTTAATGTATTCTGCAACAATTCCTAAAGAAGTAGAGCGGATGGCAAGCTCAATGGCGAAAAAGGTCACAGTCATCTCTGTTGGGAAGCCAAATAAACCTAATCAGGCTGTCAAGCAGTTAGCGATTTGGGTAGACTCGAAGCGGAAGAAGCAAAAGCTTTTCGATATTTTGATGAGCAAGCAGCATTACAAGCCACCAGTTATTGTATTTGTGGGTTCTCGACTCGGAGCAGATCTCCTTTCTGAAGCAATAACAGTAAGTACAGGGCTAAAAGCACTGCCAATTCATGGTGAGAAATCAATGAAGGATAGGAGAGAAATTGTAAGGTCATTTCTAGTTGGAGAAGTTCCTGTTATTGTGGCCACAGGGGTGTTGGGTCGAGGAATCGATCTGTTGACTGTGAAACAAGTAATTGTGTTTGATATGCCAAAATCCATCAAGGAGTATGTGCACCAGGTTGGAAGGGCATCTAGAATGGGAGAGGAAGGTACAGCAATTGTCTTTGTGAATGAAGAGAATAAGAAATTGTTCCCCGAGTTTGTTGAAACTCTTAAAACATCTGGTGCTGCAATTCCCCGAGAGCTTGCTAATTCATGGCATTCTGTTGGCTCTTTCTCTGCTGGCAGAGGTCAGAAAAAACGAAAACATGGTTATTGAAGATCTCCTTTCCGCTTCCTCTACATGAAGCTCCCCCTGCTAAGAATGAAGATACTTATCCTCTCAAGCTCTCCTCTACTGCAAATGTTCTGCCATTACCACAACTGCTTCTTAGACCTGGTTGTCAACCTGTCTTGGTTGGACATTAGTGCTTGAGTATTTATACATGTGTATACTGTGTAGTGTGTTACATCTTGATTCTTCTCGTGCTAAAAGGATGCTTCTCATTTGAAAACACCTGGTCAACTGAAAACCAGCCCTGGAACTTCAATTATTTAGTGATGGACATGAAGGGTGCACTCCTCAAAGCTTAAGAACTGAAATGTAGCTGACTGCGATGTTGACGGAATGCTGCAGTTCATACTCGTTCTTTAGGTGATCTCTTCGGCCTTAAAAGTCAAGAGGATATAAGGTTTTGGCGATGCTGGTTATATCTGCGGTTGGACTGATAAGCATTCACCTTAGTCATTAACTGCTCACTGAAAGTTTAAGCATACATGACAGTTTTGGTGACATATATATTGTTCACCAAATTTGTCGTGATTGATTTTCCTCAATGAGTATATACCGTTCTATGCTTGACTTGACAGTTCGCCTCACGGGGCACGGATGCCTTTGCCTGTGTTTTCAGATTTGGAAGAATTCTGATAAGCAAGACTGCCAGAGGTGTTTCAAAACGCGGGTTAAGCAGCATATTGTAAATGTTGGCAGGCAACCTTCTACTTGTCAACCAGAAGGAGCAAGCAGCGGGAAAAGGAGGAGATTTGGAGGCGGCTGTTACTAGTTGAATACAGGTAGAGGATCAACTCTTAGTAGTTGAGAACTGTGCACTATATTCATATCATTCCGTTTTCCCTATTAAACATATAGATCCGCAGGCAGATACATGAGCAAAGTCACCATTTGCTCTGATGCTTGAAGTGGCTTGCAATTTGAACCCTCACAAGAGGAGAACATGCCTCACCATTTAATAACATTGAAAGATCGTTCCAGAGAAAATGAAGGCAGGCTTCGACATATTCTATCACATCTTGATTGTACTGGATTTTATTTAACTAAACCTCTTAAAGCTCCTGTATAAATTTCTCTAACATCCGGCTTAATGGGCTTGATATCTTGCAAAACATTAGGGATCAGGTGCTAGACCTCTAATGCTTTGCGAGATATCAAACCCATTAAGCCACAAGTTGGAGTGATTTATACAGGAGCTAGAAGAGGTTTAGTTAAATCGTAAATCCCGTACAACCTAGATGTGAAAGAATTTGTTGAATACTTTTCTCTTGAAGGATGTGTTATAATTATTTAAATGGTCAGACGTGTTCTTTGATGCTTGCTCTGATCAAATTGGAAGTCTCTTCCAAGCATCAAACATTTGGCATCTTTGTTTATCTGCCTGAAGATCTATATATTGACAAGTGATATGCATTTATGAGGTGCAAGTAAGGAGTGCAGTGTCCTTGAATCCTATGAATGATATTGTGGTGTAATTTAATATTTAAAAGAGATAATGTGGTGTCACCAAGGCAATGTTGTTGGGTATGATTTATCAAGTCTGTTCCAGGTTTAGAGAAATGAATTGATTAGGTATAGCAGCAAAACCAAAGTACTTCTTTGGGTTTACACTCTTCTAGGATAATGCAAATATGTAAAAACACTCGGTGCGGCTAAGGAGCACATTATCCACATTACCAATTCCACCCCCCCCCCTAG